AGAATTGTTTTATATATTTAATCGGTACATAAATACTCGAAACATTTTCAAAATATTGTGAAAAATAATATGAAAAAGACGAACGAAAGAATAATGAAATCAAAGTACTATATATTCAACTTATGAAACGCAATAAATTTGAAATTCTAATAGCTTGGTGAAAAAGCCTGTGAAGTATTACATAGGAAGTCTTGGATTACTCTTTTATCCAGGATTCGAGCGATAACGATATAAGTGAATATTGCTCTTTTTTTTTTCGTTTTTTCCTTTTTTTTTTTTTTTTTTTTTTTTTTTTTTTTTTTTTTTTTTTTTTTTTTTAATCGTTGTCGCGGACTCTTTTATTACTCTATTGTTATTTATGAATATTTGCATAAATATTATTTTCTCTTGACTTTCACTAATACCAACATTTTACAATGCTTATATATATATATATATTGGATGCATATATTATAATTAAAATAGTATATTATTTGTATAAATACGTTTCGAGCTTATGAAATTATATTACAACCATATCGTATATTATTCATATATATATATATATATATATATATATATATATATATAAACATTACAGGTCTAAGTTAAAGTAAAAGAGACATATGATAAAAATAACATGTTCCAAATGTCACTGTATGTAACTGTATGTACATAAAAAGGAATTCTTATACTGTAATTATGCATATACAAATGATCAAATGCAAGAAAGTCAGTCTCATTTTATGATTATACGATATATAAGATATACGAAGATGATTTTATTTATAAAGGATGAGTCGACTAAGGAAGCAAAATTTATTCGAACATTCTTATTGTAATGTTGTTATAATTACCAATTGTCAAGTATGTAAGTACTAAATGATATTCAATAGCATACATTTTATATTTCATACAATAATCATGTATTTAATATACTCATATTTATTTCATTTAAATACTATTATTAGAGAAATAAAAATAAAAATAAAACATACATTGGCAATTAAATTTCAATTTTAATGTCGAGAGGCACAATTATAAAATATCAATTTCAACCAATATTTTCGAGAATATCTATAATATTTTTTGGCCTTATAATATCATAATACACAATTACTAAGCAGAAATGAAAAGAATATTTATGAATTACAATGACTCTTGTAATCCCATTTGCAATCTTAAATGCATTGTAATCAAGTTCAATTGAATAATAATTAGTTAAATTAGTAATTTATATAGTGCTGTAATATAATGTTTCGTTTATTTCTTAATATTACTCATCCTATGAAAGTGAAATCTTTATCATTAGATAAATAAATGAAGGCGTTATAATCTATGAATAACGTAAAAAGCACCATATCATAGACAATAATATTAAAAAAGTTATCAATTTATTTATAAATATGCGTATATGCGGATAAATGTAGTTGGTGTGAAAAGAAGCTTGAAATCCTAGAAACTGGTAGGTATTTATTTAGGTATGTAGCGGCGGGGTCTTACATTACAACCGAAGTGCGAGTATTGAAGAAACAATGCCGTAAAAAGTCAGAAAGGAGAAAAAAAGTGGATAAATCCAAGGGAATAAAAGTAAGAGATCGAATGATTGAGTTGGTGTGTGTGCGACGGGTAAGAATGGGGGAGGGGGAGGGGGGGTGATGGGAGGGGAGGGGGGGAGCTGTGGTGAGGGTGGTAATCGCTTAGACTTAAGACTCTAAATTAATCTCCCTTCGGCATCTATCGACGCCACAGCCATTATCGGGCGGTGGGTGCGGATTTATCGATAATGGGCATCGGCGAGTGGCTAGCGAGCCGCGCGCGTGCGAGTCCTTAAATCCACCCGAGCGGAGGTCCAGCCCCGAGGGTACGGTTAGCCCCCCTCCTCCTCCTCCATCACCTAATGGTCCTCTTTACTAACCCCTCCATACTCGCACGCACACACGCATCCTCGTCCGCTCGAAATCATAGGTACCGGCACCCCGAAAGTCGCGTGGCGCTTTACCTGGACGGGAGGCAGTCCCTGGCCCAAGCCCGTGAGAGAAGCGATCGGCCGTCCGAAGAATATTTATGAGACGGGGATTGTCGCGGGCTTGCAGGTGCGGCTCGAAGCTCCGCAAGCGCGACTGAAAGAGCTTGGCCCGGCAGATGTGCATCTACCGAATTCGCTCGGCATGTTAACTACAGTTCGCCTCCTGCGTCAGCGGCCGATTACGTCGCTTCCGTTGCCGCTAGGATAACGGACTGACCGGCGGATTATCGAGTTATCGCGCTGGGGGACCTTGCGAACTTTTCCGTGCATCGTTACACTCGCTAACGCGGCTTTATGCTTTCTGATGGTCGACGGTAAAATTATCGGAGTCCCGGCGTCTCGATGTCGCGAGCGTGCGAACTTTTTTCTTCAACTTATTTTTTATCGAATGCCTTGGCGTTCCGTTATTCGGGCTTTATTCGACGAAGAAGGTGCATTTGCCAAACTGAAAATCGTAACTGTGGACAAATTATTCCGTACCTCGTTTAAAATGCTGGTTAAATGCATTCGAGATGATCAGTGACATCAGCTTGCTGAATTTATTTAATTTATCAGAGGTCGATTATTCGTTAAATATTTTTTCTTTCTTTTTTTGTAACAACTTTTTTTAGACGAGTAGAAGACTTTGTGATAAATGATAAATTATTTTATGTAGTATTTTTTCAATATTATATTCAATGTGACTAGATAAATGTATTGAACTTATAAGAAATTTAAACATTTAATACAAATAGAAGATATTCAATTAACATTTTTAATTATACTGAATATGTATTATTTGTGTTTTTAATTGTTTCTTTTATTAAACAATTATAAACATTATCCTACCAATATTTTAATCATTTTTCATTATATATTGTTAATCGTATATTATAAGTGGCATATGTGTTAATGATATTTATAATTACAATTTGGTGGGTATGATAATAGATTTGAGTGGTAAAATCGTAAGTATATAAATTTAAATTTACGATTAAATAATGATATGAAATTCATGACGTATTGACATTGACTTTATATATTGAATAAATTTATAATGAAATTTTACTCACATTTCCATGTGGTCGTAAAAATCTGACATCGATAAAAATATAATCAAATTACTTTGTATGAAAATACAAGAGTAACGTAAAATTTCATTAGTTTCGAGATTTCATTAGGTAATAAAAGTTAAAAAGTCTTTACCACCATCTATCTTTCATAAAAATGTATAAAATATCTCGATATTGTATATAGAAATCTACGTACACGATAACCAATATTTGCTATTTCGGTATTTTTTCTAGCGTATGAGCATAAATAAAAGGGGAAAGGGAAATGAGGAATGGAAAATATCTGGTTTTTAAATTTAATATAGATGCAACTGAAATTTTCCGAAATAAAGTCGATCGACTACTATATAGTAATAATAATAATAATAATAATAATAATAATAATAATAATAATAAGACGAGTATATCAAATTTATCAATTTTAAATAAAAATTTTTATGTAGCAGAATGTCGCTCATTAGAATTTTTATCATCATTTCATAATAAACAATATGTAAATATCGAGCATATACAAAATCTAAGAGAATTTAATATTTATTTAATAATAATTGAGCATTAGTGTCTTGTCTATTAAATTTTTTATACTTATTTGTGTAGATAAATTTGATCAAATTTAAAATTTATTAATAAGAATACAAGAAAATATTTAAGATATATTAAAATCGTCGAATAATATTGAAATATTTTAGATTTTAATTACCATTTTAAAATATCTAAGATATATGATCGATCGTCACTATAGATTATGAATTCATAGAATTTACTTTTCTTGATCGTAACGAACGTCATTTAATGGAAAAAGGTACTTTTGCACTTATATGGCATTCGATTAATTTAATATTCATACGTGATTCATTCAAGTCGTTTTTACTATTTTATTAAGTCGTAAAAGTATTTCATAATAATTATTCTAAAGCTCCATACGACGTTTTTTACTAGCCACTTTGTAATTACATATATCATGATGTATGATTAAATTTTTCTGTGTCGAGCAACAAAAAAAAACAAGTATAACTGTTTATACAGCAATTATATTTAATCACGTAAAATTAGATTTAAATATGACATTATCTCGTGGTTATAAATATAATATACGTTCGATATATCCATAAAAAATGGTTTGAATAAAATACTTTCACAAGTCATTTAAATGATTTTGAAGGAATTCGAAAATAAGATATACAATTACTTATTATTCGTATGCGAAATTGAGATAATATGTAGGTTAAGTTACTTTTCTTATATTATGTATTTTCTTATTAAAATCATCAAAATATTCAACATCAATATATATTTTAATACAATGTGATTTATTTCGCATTATTTAAGCAATTATTTCCTACTAATATTCAATAGCTTCAATTGAAGTTAGTTTTATTTCATTCTAGTTTTCCTATAATATCTAAAGATTGAACAATATATTTTTATTAATAGTTTAATATAAAAGTCTACGATGCAGTAAAACATTCATTCAGAATTGTCATAGAATAAAAGGCATTGAATTATAATTTATAATACCGTCTGTATTGACTTAATTGATGCAATGAATGCATAAAACTTAAGGGATCCTGTCATCTTTTTATAATGAAAATTGCATGCAGGCTCGTAATGCCAGAGTAATGAATAAATCCTAGGCAATGCAGGTTTATAATTTCCATGACGAGTTAATCGATGATACGCGAGCGGTCCTAAGGGAAAGCCGAGCTTTCGTCTCGTCTCTTAGAAAAAAAGTTTCTTAACTCATCGCATCGCATATGAATCGACGCTAAAGCCAGAGCCCAACAACATGATAAATACAAAAGGAGCGCTTATGGTAGAACATAGCATCTCCGGTATCATAAAAAGGGATAGACAGATGGATAATGTATGGAAGAGTGGAGGTGTGGGATGAATGGGATATGTGGGGGAGCTGAATAGAATGATACTAATGTATAACTCACCGGTGCATTTTTCCTCTTGGAGAAGAGCCTCGGTACTAATGCCACTGGCCTGCAATCTCAGGTATCCAAGGTGCCTGGCGAGGACGCGCCCGGAGCCGGGAGCGCGCTCCTGCCACTGGGCCAGACTCCAGCACAGCATCTCCCGGCCGGTGCTCGGGGCCAAGGCGAAGGGGTCGGGGGCCGGCTCCAGGGAGAAAGCCCTCGCGCACCAGGAAAGCCAGGAGGCGATGTGACTCGCGTTCCACTCGGAGGGATCTGCGCAGTGGTCGAGGGTGCGGCTGGCGTTAGTTGTTACGAACGAGTACGCATCCCGACGATCGGGATACCCGGATTGTGTCTCGCTCAGGTGCGTTCGAGTTCCGCGTTTTTCCGACGCCGGGAATTCGAGGAGTTAAGAACCAACGACGAATACCGAAAACTTCGGCGGCATTACTCGTTAACAAGCGGCTCCGCTCCTCTGATACTTCGTATTTACGCGGAGCTCATCTTCCGTTAACGCTCTTTTGCTCGTGTAGCATTTTATTGAAAGTTCAGGTGTTCAGGCGTTGCAAATTATTTGAATATAAATTTGTTATAAATTGATTGTAGATGCTCGATCGACGATTTTCAATGGAGTTTGTCAAATGCATGTTTATTTATTAGGGAAAAAACATAGACTAACTTTCCATTTATGCATTTCTTCTCATAATTGGTAAAGTAATGATAAAAGCATAGAGTGGAAAATTTTAAGTTTTTAAAAGACAGCACATTGCATGGATTTACATTTTAATTATTTTTAATGTAAAATATAACAAATTGACTTACTTTACACATGTGTTTTCATAAAATGACTCTAGTTTTTATGAGATGACATTTTCGCGTATTTTTTCCATAAGTGACTACATTAATTAACCAAATTGTCAATAATATGAAAATGTTGATAAACAGGATGGATACAGTAGAGTTTTGAAAGGCAATTTGATTACTCGTTTTCTAATTGTGCTGTTGCGGTTATATAAAAATAAGCGGATATGGCATTTTAATATAATAGAATAGTCCTTTAAAGCACTTTATTGCATAATAATTAATATACTTTCTTGGAGTAATTAAAAAAATATTACAACAATACCAACTATGGTTAATTATTTCTTTTGTATTTTATTGTTGTAAACAATGCAGACTAATCAAAATTATGCTAGAATCTTAATTATTTAATACGTATGTTTTTATATACTTTTCTTAATTTCTTTAAAAAAATTTTCTGTCACACGTAATATTAATGCAACTGGTGCAATTCTAAATTTTGTACATTAAATTATAATATTGTTAAAATTTTGTTTAACTTCGTGAATAAAAATGATAAGAAATTAATTTATTACTAAAAACATATTTATTATTATTGTAATTATTGATGTTATTATTATTCGTATTATTATGATTACAATTATTGTTATTGTTATTGTTATAGTCGTGGTAAATATATGAATACTAAATGTCATTAAAACATGTAGGTTAATACAAAACTTTTTAAATCATTTTCATAAAATAACAAATAATATAGAGAAATTTTTTGACATCACTTAAGAAATTACTTAAAAACAGAAAATTTTATGGAGACTTGCTTAGTCAGTAGATCATTAACCTTTTAAGGCTGAGACCCTGGTAAACGAGTTATACATGATATTCGCGAATTACTTTAAACATACAAAATTGTAAGCAATTTAAATCTTTTACATAAACATTTAAAATGTTGTGCTTTAATATACAGTTTATAAATATACAAAAGAAAAAGAAATCATTATTCTTACATAATTTTATTATCTTCACTCTTACATAATCATGATATAAAGTTATGTATTAGAAGACATATTTTCAAACGTAATATGTGAAAAAACAATATTTCATTCATATACAATTTGAGTAGAATAATATTTAAAAAAAAAAAAAAAACTATTATTAAAAATGTCAAATATAATAATATTTGTGATCAGCAAAGAAATTCTATATTGATAAAGAATTTACTGCATACATAAAATAATATATTTGCTGCTAAGAAGAGTTTCGACTAATTACAACTTTAATCGTTTAAACGGTTAAATGACGTTAATAATTTAAATATAATTGAATGTATATATAATTGAATAATACTAAAATATAGATTGAATTATTATGATTAATGTATAATTAAAAAAATTAATAAATAAATAAATAAATGAAACTAATAATAAAATTATTAAACAAATTTTATAATAAAATTTATGTTATATCATTATTATCAATTGATAATGAATATAATTCGTTATAATGTATGAAAACTTTGCTTTCGTTATTATTATTATTTTCTCTTTTCTTATCAAATAAGCAATATTTTGGTTTCTGAAATGTATGTAAATAATATCTAAAAAGTACATTTCTATTAAAGAGAGAAGCATATTTTCCGTTACGTTAAATATTTAAATTTATAACGGCATGTTAAACTTTATAGTCTGTTACACAGTCTGTTTATAGACTTTTGTGAACCTTCGTGTTAAAGTAAAAACTCTTGACCTTGAATACCGATATAAATAGCTTAGATATTTTATAAAATACATCAAATAATATACATAAATATATTGCATTCCACAGTTTAAGGAATAATTTATATTATTTAAATCGCCAATAATAAGATCTAAATAGCTGTGCTATGATTTTTCTCATAGTGTAAATTGATTAATTATGACATTAAGTCTCAGCAGAACTTCATATTCGAAATGAAATAATAGAGTCAAACATTTTTAATGTTACGAATGCGGCTAAAAACTGTTTCTAAACTGGTAAAACTACGGAATAGGTCTTATTGGATTACCTCACCACCGACCTTAAATATGCGTGAGTAGAGGATAACTGAGTATAAAATCTAGTATTATAATATTATTCTGGATAACTATGTGCTTTGATTCAATAGAATTCCTCTAAAAATGTGATAAAAATTTAATATTAATTTATTATATGAAACAGATGATGCCGAACAAGACAATTAACTAATGTTTTGGCTATATAATTTATAATTGTTAAGGTTACCGAATTCGTTTTCCACATTTTAGAACAAAATTCTAATTTGCTCATGAAAGAATTAAGATGAACTTTCGATATATTTTAAGTAAGATATTTTGTCTGCACTGTTTATATATGCCGAAATGAAATTGTCACTAAAATTCATCAAATTCTTGGTAGTCGAGTTACAATGTTTCATGAAAATCTCAGTTTTACTTTATGATTATTGTTACAGCTAATGAAACAAAAGCCGTGCATTAATTATAAAAATTTTAATTTTGTATAATTTTATATAATATAACACCTTTTTCTTTGTAATTTATTATGCATATATAATAAAAAAAATAATTTAACACATACCACGCTCTTTAATAATTATTTAAAGCGTCAGCATATTTTTTATTATGCACGAATGTTTAGAAATACATGATTATACTTGTAGTGTGGTAAAACAGATTAATTCCTTCTTTTCGACAAGTCAAAAGGTACATCGAATTAACGTAATCGTTGGTAAGTGCGCATACAATAGAATGAAACGGCAGGCCAACCCATCCCCCTAATCCCGTGAAACGAAACATGAATAATAAGTCGCCAGTCCCCTGTACGAGCCTAAGCACCAGGTTTAAAACATTTCATCGCATCACGAAGTACTTAAAGTCGGTACTGTCCATTAAACTATCAGTAGCTAAATGATACAGTGGTAACTAGTGAAATTCTAGAGTACCAGGATTATCAAGGCTACAGTCGGTGCGGAAATTCACCCGGTGTAAACTTACTTACCCGACGGCACCATAACCGGTTCTTGCCACTCGACGTCCTCTTCGTCCCTCGATTGTCCATTGTGGCATACGCTTCCGGTTCCCACCGAACCAGAATCCTCCTCGAGGGAGGCGCACTTGGGTGCACCGTTCGCGGGACCCTGGGCCTCATCCGCGATCCTCAGCAGACTCTCGAACCGCGGGGGAAATAGCTCATCAAGGTCCAGCATCTTCTTTACGACCGAGAACGAAGTCGACCTGGACCCGGACACGTGCTGTCGCTTCTACCTGCTGTGTCCTGCTCTACTTGACAGACGAGATCTTTCAATGGCTAATCGCGATGAATTGCTCGACACCTTGTTTAACAACATTCGTATTTACATAGCTTAACTTGAATCGCGCGCCGAAACATAGGAAAAACCGGACACAGGCGATTTGTTCCAACTAATTCTAATATTTGTCGATTGAAATAACAATAAATAATTTGTTTATTATTGATCTGGATTAATAATTTCATTTAGACAGTATTATTCTGTCATTCTTCGATTTCAATAATTTAAGTCCATTGATTTTCATTAGATTTTCTTTTAAAACCGAATACAACAATTCATCTGCCTGATTATTTTTTATAAAATGTGAAATCGAATTATCGCGATACTCGACAATGCATTTTGCTTATATTTAATTGCATTTACACTGATATTCCACAAACTTTTAACTCAATTATTTAAATTGAATATATAATTATTATTCATTTCATATATATTATATATATATATATATATATATATATATATATATATATATATATATATATGTATAGAACAACAGATTGTTGAATTTGTGATCATCACATTAGGTTTCTTAATTTAATACCAATAATTCTTAATCTATTGATGATGATGATGATGATGATGATGATGATGATGTGACGTCTTTTTTTTTAAATCAGTAAACTGTATAAGAAAAATTAGACGTACAGTGAAAATCGAAGCCGTAGCTCAGTCGAGAGAGAAGCGAGCTGTAACGTGTCCTCCTGTATCGCTGTCACTTGACATTGTAGATAAACAGGCAAGAACACTGGTCGAGGAGTAGACGGCTGGATCCGTGATCGGAAATGCGAAATGCGAGTGAGGCGCCGATCGGGATGATCGCGGTTCACGGTGGCGCCTCTCTCACAATACTCGGCCCGTCGTTGCATCCCCCTGGAGGTCGTCCGCGCGTCCCGGCGCACCGACTCCGACTGGCCAGGAGGCGGCTACGGACTCGGGACTCGAAGTCCGACGCCGGCGACGATGATTCACCTGCCACGCGCCACGAAGCCACGTGCCCGCGGCCCCATTTCATTCACCAAACTCCCTCAGCCTGTGACTGAATGCTAGGTGAGGGTGTGTACGAGAAACTGCGAGATATATTTGTGCGCGCGTATGTACACACGCGTACGCGGAATAGAATCGGGGTGGGGTGGCGAATGGGGAGCGGGGATGGGGATGGGGATGGGGGGGGGGCAGGATCTCGCTTCGCGCACTCAAGGTATCGTGGGCTCGAGTTGCGTAAGGAAGCCGTCGGTGGGAGTAGGGCCGACCACCGTCGAGGACCGCTCGTTCGATCGTTTCTCCTTTTACTGTTCGTGTAATCGATCGGTCGGAGCTGCAACCTTCGACTTCCGCTTAGCGTCGGATTTTCTCGGATCTCGGGGAGGTCTCGACACTTTGTGTAATAATGTATGATAAAATCAGCGTCATAGCGTCCCCATATAATTCACTTGGCTTCAAAAGTCACGCTTGACTCCCAGTGCTTTTTATTGCCGATCAGTATCAACCGATTCCATCTTTCCACAGGTATACAATAATATACTCAATTTAACGGACTTTCTATCTCTATATGAAATAGCAAGCGCTGGCCTTCCTAAAAAAAAAAAACACGCACACATCTAGTCTCGGTATTAAACGAGTACTTATACAAAAGCTTGCGAAGCTGCCATTAATTATCGATGCGCTATCGAAAATTGATTAACGCAACGGAGCAGCGAAGAAAGACATTCGTACATCCTGTGGCATAACGAGAGGAAGCGACTGCTCGTTGGTAAGGATGTACCGCCTTAACGTAATGACGAATACATTAGCGGAAAATATCCATCACATCAAAAGAAACAACTGTTATTTATGTATTTCGTGGCGTCGCGTGTGTTCGAACGCCCACCCGGACATTGCAGAGACGATCTTAAGAAGGTTTCACCGCCTCTGTCGGCGTCTTTCGTCCGGTCCAAGTTGTAATTGGCTACTCGAAGAGTTCCTCGGAAGCTAAGTCATAGCCTTCCTGTTATTGCATCACGAGATAATCGAGATGTTTCGGAGAGCCACGAATAGAAAAACAATCAGATAATGAGAATTAAGCGAAGATTCGGTACCTTTACTGCATGCATTGCTGTACTTTTCGAAATTAGGACGATTCGCTTCATCGAGCATCAAAAATCAGATCTTTGAATTACAAAGAGAGATGCAGAAAATATATTTAAAAATTATCATCACTCGAACTCTACGCGAATTTGTATTTTTAAGGTATATTGAATCTTTCTTATTATTATATTCTTAATATTAAATTTGATTTAAATGGATTTTTCATCAAAATTTGTGCAGTGAATATTCAGAAAAACAATACATATAATAGAATTTATTGAAATATAATGACTATCGAGACAATAAAAAAGTATAATGAATTACATTATACTCTATTATTCTCTATCCACCAAGCCCAATTAAAAGCATACATGACAATTATATTCGTATAAAGTTATACTTTTTACGAGATAAATGTACAGACACGACTATGTAGTAGTAATAAAAATTCATGTACTCTAAAAAATGTTCTTCTTTGTACTCCAAAATTAATATATATATATATATATATACATTATTCCAGATCTGCATTAGTATTAATGATGTTACCGAACAGCATCGCGAAGACTTCTAGACATCCTATCACTCAATTTCCAAAATGAAACAACTCCAATACAGCCAGCCACATGGTACACGTCATCATTACAAATTGGTCGTTAAAAATTCCAATGAATCGCACGTATACCTAAGACGATGGGCTCACTAACCGAGTCAAAAGAGCAAAACGATTGCAGAGGAAGTGGCGCCGTGAAATCTCGATCTCAATTTTCTGTGCGTCATTGACTAAGGAACAGGGTCGAGATGGGATGCCTTGGGTGCTTAAGTGAGCAAAGTGTCACCTTGTAACGCAACTTTATATTGAATTAATATTAACTGTATATTGAAACTATAGTAATCGTTTTATTTCAATATATATTAATATATTAATTCAATATATTAGTATATTAATTCAATATATTAGTGACAGCTCTTATCCAATTGTTTATTTACAATTGAGATATATTTTATTTATCTCGAGTCTTGAGAAATTACTGAGTCATGCAATTATTTTTACTTTTTTTAATTTTTTCAATTGAATTAGAGTCTTGTGCTAGTTAATTAAATAAAAGTTGAAAAAGTTAACTTGACACATTTACTGAATTCCTGAATTACCTTAATTCTTATTCTGTAATATAATCATCGATGGATTTTAAAATTTTGTAAACAATCGTTTCTCAAAATTTAAAACACGCATTTTTTTATGCGTAAAGGAAAAAAACCCTTACGCACTGTATACTTAATTGTGCTATTTAATATTATTAAATTCCATTACCACGAATTTTATTTCGAAACAACTGATTTTCAAGTATTTAATAATATTAATAATCTATTATCCTTCTAATTTTTAATATTACACTAATTTAAAACAATATAAGTCTTTTTTCTTACAAAACTCAACAGAATATATAAATATTTTACATACTTACTGTCTAAATATTAAATTATATTTTCACTAATATCAATAATCCATTTCTAATTCATTTAAAAATGTCATTTTAATCTATCTTTATAAATCGTGTTTTTTTTTGTTAAATATATTTTTATCGTTATCGATTAATCCTATATATATATATATATATATATATATATATACTTGTAGTCTTTAGTCATTAAAATATTTTTTCCCTAAAAATTTTTAATTTATAGTAATTGTTGAGAAAAAGAATTTTGTATTATATGAACGACAAATGCGCTATAATCATGATTCATTTAACTTGTACAATCACGAGTATCAGCATTAATAATAGATTTATAATTATAAATAATTTTCGAATTATCGATAGTACAATTGAAGCGATATCCGTAATATTCATTGTACGACAGCCAATGCCTTTTAGTTGAGGTTAATTAATTTTACTATTTATTTGTTGCACAGCCTGTGGGAGATGTGCTTTTAAGCTCCAAGCAACATAAATATACGTTGAATCATACGCGGCAAACCATCAATTCCCACCTGATAAATTCGATGGTTTATATGCAATAGAAGTAAATCAAATAAACCGTGCTGCAGCACTAAAAGGGTTATACAGCGACATAGTTGACGTCACGGGAGAGAGAGAGAGAGAGAGAGAGAGAGAGAGAGAGAATCCGGGGAGCATCACTGAATTCTCGGAAGAGTGAAGAGGACCGTTGCAGCGACGAAAAGTCTTGCTCTCGGAGATCCTGGAATCTTTTTTCGCTGAATCATACCTGTCGACACGGCGTGAAAACACGGCCCTAGAGACAGATTATTCTTATATTGCAATTTTTTCCAGACTTTTGCAGATTAATTTCAACGACACATTATACAGTATTGAAAAGATAAAATTATAAATAATGTTTCTTTTGCAGACAATCATTAACTTTTGCTTCAATATATATATATATAAACTATTAATTTATTGGTTTAAACGGCAGGATGTATTCTTTTATATTCTAACGATATATGCAATTTATCACGCGTGAAACATATATATTTTTGTTTATCTATTGTTCACAATAGTATAAAAAATTCGTCATAGATTAATAAGTATAGAAAGTTATAATATATCATGTAGCACTATTAATTAATATATCTTTGTAATTAGATTTTTTATGGATAATGATGAATAATTAATTTTTATACTATAAGATCGTTATGAAGGAGTAATTGTTCGCCTTGTAATGAGTACAGTTGCATTGCACATTATGCAAACTCGTGCAATAGGCTGAAAATTTTCAAATGAGAATAAATAAACAAGAACAAAAATATTAATATATTGAAAAAGTATCGTCGTTGTAATAAGTTCTATAAATGTTCAACAAAATTGACGATTAAATAGCGATGAAACGTTGCAAGGTATAAAGTTTCATATCGCATTGTAGCTTAAATTTTGAACACTTGTTCAGAAATATTGAAGGATAGCAAGAAACTTAGACGATAGCCTGATCGTTGATTATTTGGTGTAGTGCCAAGAGTGCAGCTAAATTCGCTATATATTAATTGTAAATGTTTGTTCGAAAATTTAGTAGGAAATAAGGAAATTAAAGGAATATCAAAATAGATTTAGTTCTGTAGGCAAAAGATAAAAGCATGGAATATTACACCGATCATTGGTAGTAAAAAATGTAAAGTTATGAAGTAAACTGAACGTGGCGGAGGATCTGAGAAGCGTCATAAATAAAAAATCCTTGCATGCTGCGAGCGTCCCTCGACCGATAAAGTCGCGCCGAGAAGTAGAGAGTGTGTAGGGTGATAAAATCACGATGAAATAATATAACTTCGGCTGCCTTTGAGAATCTCGAGGATCGATGCGACGACGGAGGAGCCTCTCCTCGTCTTTGGTGGGCTCTCTTGGATGTATCCTACCAACTACGTAATAGTCCCCCACGCGACGCATTCACCAGGGTGTGAATCACGATATATCTCGGGTATCCCACTCCTGTGCGCCTCAGCAATGGCGACAGACACTTACCGGTCCTTTTCTAATCTCTTTCCTCGAGCAGGGCAGGATCATATGTGACTAATCGCCTGATAAAAAAACTGTCCTGAACTTCCCGTGCGAGGAGCCGAGAAACAATCGTGTCATGGATCTCCACATAAAATGAACTTAAATTATTTGTAGCTTTTGAAAGCGATTACAATGGAATATATAAGTTACATGCTTAATGATTCCTAATCGCTTATCCGCTCTAATATAATACTGAGATTTTAAGTTTAAGTTAGTTTTACAGAACTCTGCTTCAATTAAACGTTAATATTCCCATTTTTATGCAGTTCTGCGAATTGACATAACAGTAATATGTAATATATAGTTGAGGCATATCATATTAAATTATTTTCCTTATTTTAACATTTTCCTTTTAAAATGTACGTATCAGTCTATCTATCTATCTATATATATACGTACGTATATCGTATAATTTAGAAATAAATACTTTCGATGCTTCAAGTATTAATAGTCTTACTTAACGAAAAGAATTTTTTTTTTTCTATAAATTTTTTAATAATTAAAAATTAGAAAAATAAGAAAAAATGAAGCAGATTTTATTCTTATTTTTCTCTTATAATATTACATTCAATTCTCATTTTAATTCAAATTTAACAATTTTGTAATTTGTATTCAATTTTATTTATATATATCAATAATAAGAACAACTTTATGGGCTTATATAATGCTATTTTTAAATATAAATATATATAACATTTAACATATATAATGTTTATTGTTACGGTATTACAAGTATCGATAGTACTGAAGTTATATAAATTCATTTGATTTTTAATAAGTAGAATAAGTTTGTTGAAATAATATTTATAATATATATATATATATATATATATATATATATATATACATATATTAAATCACGTTAGTGTCAAATTACTTTATTATTGTAAATTCATTTTGTATCGATACTGTATTCAATTTCTATTTAATCTGAAAATTAAACAGTTAATATATTTAATATCTTAAAAGCTATGTAATATAAATCTATAAAAAATAATTATCATGTCTTGATGAAAAACATTTTTCTTACAAATATGTTAAGCAAGCATTTGCTCGAGTTTTTTTTATTTAGAATAATGACAAATCATTGTCATATTTAAATGCCTATTTTACATACATGAATTGTAAAATACTAAGTTGCATTTATTTAATTATCCATGATTAGATTTATATATCATTATTCATGTAGCATATTACACATTAAATAAATTCGATTTCCATTAACATTTATTTATTTATTTTTCTTATCTGTATCAATATTAAAATATTTACGTCACAATTATTTTGAATAATCATAATTAATTTTTACCCAAAATATTAATATTTCCAAAATCATTTTAAAGACAATGTTTTTCTACTTCATTAATGACACATCGTGGCATTTCACTTTAACGTTTAAATTATAAGTGTACGTATTGAAAGGAAAAAAAAAAAAAAAAGAAAAGAAAAAAAAATATTAATACAAAATTTCTTTCATAATTGAATAGAAAGATTATACCGCCATCTGATCCAATCCAGTAATCTGCTTACATGCCCTTGTATTTAATATATTTTATCATTTCCGGTGAATCGACCATCTTATATATTTCCCGAAATCCTAAGAAATGAAAGCTTTTGAACGCCAGTTTTTAAATAAATAATCAACTTTAGCCTATTTATTGCGATATTTAGACAATTATTTATCGCTGTAATTAAATATCCAAATCAAAAATGTATTGGCTATCGAGTACTCTGAAACCAGCAAGTGCTTCTTTTAACATATAACCATCTATAAGGCTTTACCGATGATGGGAAAAGATTTAACGCAAAGTCCGAAGTGGAAAGTAATAGAAGAAGCGTAAGGACGTCGGCGGTGGATTGTTTATGCCTGTCGGCGAATGATTAAATTGTAAGTCGTCGTTTTCAGGCCACTCGACTCTCCAAAGTCCAAAAACATCAGCTTACAGAGAATAAGGATAGTCGACATCGAATCAGTGGAGAGAAAATACGTTATCTGGGTGATCAGAGGCGACGCGATGGGCGGGCGAAAGGGGGAGTAAAGTGG